AAAAAAAAAAAAAACACCATGGTAGATACCTTAGTTCATCCTTCTGATAAGCCTGTTGATCTGGTCTTCCCTATTTCCACAAAATGGGTGGTCTTTTTCTTCATTCCACCTCATGCAGATGATAACTTGAACGGCCACAGGAAGTTATTTGCCTCTTTGAAGCATTTTCCAACAGTATAGATCTCATGAATCAGATCCTCTATGCAGATGATTCCAAATTTACCAAGAGATCGAGCAATCAGTGAATTATCTGTCAAGGCAATTCGCTTCTTATTGATTTTGCCATAGCCACGCTTGTATGTTAGTTTGTTCACTGACTTCAGGTTTGGGTGCCCCCATGCAATGTATGGCTCCCCAATTCTCAGCATGTTAAGTGAAGCCTTGTTGAGCTTAATGAAGGTACCATTAAAGATTTGGCGAAGGCGAGGAAGCTGCAACACCTTGCGGACCTTTGGGCTCACACCATTGATACCCCTGATCCGGATGACAAAGGCCAGTTTGGGCTCTGCAGGGACATAGAAGTTGCCAGCTTCTCCTGCTATCCTCGCCATTCGGATCTCAGTTCTGTACATCTGTCTGTCCTCCTTATGATAGTGCCTGGTTTTTTCATGAATGAGCTTCCTCCTCGCCTTGTGAAGCGTCTTCTGGACAAACTTCTTTCTCAGGCGCTTTCTCTTCACCTCTGTGAAATGTCTTCGCTTTTTCTTAAGGGTTGCTGGCACAGCAGGAAACTTCTTTTTCTTCTCTTCTACACCCTCCGTGGTTTCAGCCAGAAAAAAAAAGGTAGATTAGTATTTTTTGAAAACCCATGAAACAGTGAGTCTGTGAAAATCAAACCATGAAATAGTGAGGGACTACTGTATAAAGAAAGGCGTGTGTGCAGGAGGGCGGGCCAGACTCAGGATAAGCTGGCCTGCGTCTTTAGCCTCTTGTCCCACATGGAAGGGTGCCTTGGGCCCAGACAAAACAAAGTCCCTGGGAGAACACTGGGGTTCGCCATGGCTTGGGGTCACCAGTGCTGAACTTTGGATGTTCAGGAAAGTTCTGGCAAGCCTGGTGGCAGGGTCAATCCTATAAGTCAGAGGTACTCCAGGGAAGACCAAGCAAAACCAGGATCATGGGTGGGGTGCGCTGGCCTGCGTTGGTGCCCAGGTCTGACTAAGTGGCTGCAGGTCTGCTGTGCACTGGGCTGCTCCCAAGGCCTTGCCTGCCCTCCTAAGCCAGGGCCCTACTTGGAAGGAGGGGCCGAGATCCCTGAGTGACTCATACTGGTACAGTATCCTTAACTGCAATATCCTTGAGCTCACTTCATAGCCCAGGCTGGCCTCAAACTCATAGCGATCCTCCTGCCTCAGCCTCCCGAGTGCTGGGATTGCAGGCGTGCGCCACCATGCCCAGCTTATGGAGACTTGAGCAGCTATCTGCCCTGAAGAATTAAGGCTCTAGTCTCTGCCTGTATCCACGAGGATGGTTGTTTGTTGTCTTTTTGTACCTAATAGCCATCGCCATCATTTAAGGTTTCTATATTTTATCTTCCTCATCTTACCCTCTAATTCTGTAGATCTAAGTCTACTTCATACCTCATATTACCTGCCACCACTGACCACTGGCCTTTCATCTCCAGCATACACATATCGCCAGAGGCTTTTGTTTTTGGCAGAACCGGGGATTGAACTCAGGCCATTGTGCTTGCCAGGCAAGCGCTTATTCTACTGAGCTATCTCCCCGGCCCCGCCAGAGGCATTTGGAACAAGACATTCCCCACTGGCTGGTTTCTCCTGAATCTGCCTTAATTTAACTTTTTTTTTATTTATTTTTATTTTTATTTTTATTTTATTTTATTTATTTATGTGTGTGTGTGTGTGTGTGTGTGTGTGTGTGGTCAGCTCAGCCCACCAGGGGGCGGGGCTGGCTGGCATGTGGTGCTGGGGGATTGAACCGCGGTCCCTGTGCTAAGCTTGTTTTAAGTAGATGCTTTAGACCACTGAGCCATCTCACCAGCCCCTTAATTTAACTTTTGCCCAGACACTCCAGGGGCTTTGATCTGGGCCACCTAGAAAGTTGATGAAGAAGATGCTAAGACCTCTGACCAATGTCTCTGGCCAGCACTATGTCCTGAGTATTCTTGGGGTCACAGATCATACCAGTACCTTTGGGAGAAGATGAGCATTAGATGGGTAAAGCCTGGTCTTCCCTCTCAGCCTATAATTCTGATGCGTTATGTTCCAGGGATAAAATATCAGACACACAAAAGGACTGGAAATTCTTCGAGGTGAGTCATTTATGTTTTGGGGACTTAACTTTCAAATGAAACATCCTGTATAGCAACAAACTATAGCTGTTTTGTGTGTGTGTGTGTGTGTGTGTGTGTGTAACCGGGGATTGAGCTCAGGCCCTCGAGTTTGCCAGGCAAGCGCTTATTCTACTGAGCCATCTCCCCTGCCCCAACCATAGTTGTTGTTAGAGATATATTTTCAGTGACTATCTTTGCTAAAAGGGGTGCTAACACTATCTAATTTTGCATTAGAATTCCGGTCTGATTTCCTGCCCCCAGAATGGAGTGTGTGTGTAATTACACAGAAGCACCCGGAGCTGGGAGCGGGGTTCGTCTGGGTCTGGGTCTGTCTAGCGGTGTTCCGCAGACAGGAGGGGGTCATCTTGTCATTTGGGGGATGCTGATCCTTGTCTGTTCTTCCTTGCAGTCCTTTTTCACTTTCTGTACGCATGTAGCTTGGATTGTTTTCCGCCGTCAACACCTGACAGAGATTGAGGAAGAAATTGGGAGGCTGTTCCGGACCAACATGTTCAACATCCCTCGCAGGAAGCACGAGGATGAAGAATCCGGAGGGGAGAGGAAGCGCATGACTTTGGTCCAGTTCAGGTAGGACCTTTTGGCTGGATTCTTTGCCTGCTTGCTTGTTACCTTTTTGAAGACAAAGTCAGGCCTGGGATGTAGCTCAGTGGCACAGCACCTGCCTGGCAAGTGTGAGGTCTTGAGTCTGGTTCCCAGCACTACTACTACTACTACTACTACTACTACTAATAATAATAATAATAATAATAATAAGGGGGCCTGGGGAGATGGCTTAGTACAATAAACATTTGCCTGGCAAGTGCAAGGGCTTGAGTTCAATCCCCAGTTCCACCAAAATAAATAAATAAAATAATAATAATAATAATGACACGGTCTTGTTAAGTGGCCCAGGCTGCCCTGTAACCTCCTGAGCGGCTGTGATTATAGGTGTGCAGCGTTGTGCCTGGCTCACGCGTGATCTTCTGACTTTCCTGAGCTCAAGGATGTTGCTAGTGAAAAGGATCATGCCAGGGCCAGCAAGATAGCTCAGTGGACTAAGTGCCTGCTTAGGCAAGCGCAGGGGTCAGGGTTCGATCCCTGGCACCACATGCCTAGTGGCTGAGCCAGCGGCGGAGTCCGGTGTGGTGGTGCAGGTCTGTAATCCCAGCGCTGGGGAGGCTGATAACAGGAGGATCACTGTGAGTCCGAGCTGCGTAGTGAGACCCTCCACAAAATGCAAATAATAATAATAATAATAATAATAATAATAATGTGAGCTAAACATTACCTTCTTGCTCCCACAGGAGGATGATGGCCAAACGCCCAGCGATTAAAAAAGCCATCAACATGCGCTCTCCAGTCATGTCTACTTTGCTGCCGTCTCTCAGGGAGAAAGCTCAGAATATTGCTGAGAAGAAGCATCACGGGGGCCTGAGACGCTCGGCCTATGCAGGGAAGCACTCGGTGAACCAGGACGCTGTGCCCATGCCGGTGTAAGTGGCCCAGGAGAGAGACGGGAAGGCCCTGGTGTCACTGCCTTGGTCGGCCCAGGAGGGCGGGGCGGGGCACAGACCCTGCCTTCCCAACACCCGCTGTTTCCCCACCTCCTGTCCCGGGCATCTCTACTCATACTCAGACAGATCAGCGAAGGATTCCTAAACGTTATGCTACTTCCAAAGTGCTGGCTTTGAGTAGAGAGGATCAGAGCTGTTAAAGCTAGGGTTTTTCTGTTCTAAGAATTGTCTTTGGGAGTGTGGGAAGGGCCAGCACAAAATACTGCTAACAAGTGAATTTTGGACTGGCATATGAGTGATACTTCATGAGAATAGGGACGGCTTTTTAAAACATTTGTTTGAGAGTCATAGCTAGGCATGATGGCTCAAGCCTGTGATCCCAGCACTCGGGAGGCTGAGGCAGGAGGATTGCTGGGAGTCTGAGGCCAGCCTGGGTTACATAGTGAGCTCAAGGTCAGCCTGAACCACATAGTAAGACCCTCTCTTAAAAACACAAAGACAAAAAAAAAGCAAAGAAAAGAAACCAAGAGAAAGGGTCTCACTCTTGGGAGAGCTTTAAAAAAAAGAGAGATAAGAATGTGTATCTGTGTGTCAGTCTTTGCTGTAGCATACACAGACAGACAGACAGACAGACAGACACACACACACAGAGGCAGCCATGACCTTGCGTCTCAGTTGCTGGCCTTGCACTTGAGCTGTATCAATGATTCTTTCCACAGGATTGGCATCTTGGGGGAGCCGCGGTACCTATTCAACCCCCACACCCTCCTCCCCATTGAGCCAGAAGAAAACGCAAAAGTATCCGGCAGAAATTCTTCTCTGATAGAAATACAGTGAGAATTCAGGGCACCCTGGATTTAGCCACGAAAAGCCTGTCTCAGATATCATGACCTAAACAACCCAGTACATTCTGTGTCTGTCCTCGAGTCTTTGTATTGAAATAAACTACTCTGATGTAACTACTTTAAGTAGAGCTGATATCTGTTGTTATTTTATTTATTGATTTATTTTTGTATTTTATTTTATTGTATTTGTTTTCAGTACCAGGGATCGAACTCTAGACCTTGAGCTTGCCAGGGAAGCACTTATTCCACTGAGCCATCTCCCCTATTTTTGTATTTTGGTAAGGGTCTAGAGGGTCTACAGGGTCTCACTATGTAGATAGGACTCGTAGTGATCCGCCTGTGTTCAGTCTCCCAAAGAGCTGGATTACAGGCACGTGCCACCACACCTAGTCTCAATCACGGTCTCAGCATACCCCAGGGGCGGGGCTGGCACAGCAGGTTGGGAATGAAACCCCAGCTGCCGCATCTGCCTAAGCAGGCACTTTAATCCACTGAGCTATTTGGCCAGCCCTGTTGTTATTAATCATTAAAAAAAAAAAAAAAACCTGGTCAAAGCGGGCGTGATGGTGCACACCTGTAATCCCAGTGCTTGAGACGCCGAGGTCTTGAATCCGATTCCCAACCAATACTACTACTACTGCAAGTTCAAGTCCACCCTGAACTATATAGTAAGACCTTTCCTCAAAGTTGTTTCAAGTTATTTTTTACAATTTATTTTCTTAAATGTTCAATAATAGATTGTTAAGGAATTCCAGAAAACTCTCAAAAAAGACCATCTTCCTGTTTTTACTGGTTTGTTTTGTAACTCGCTTACTTCCTTGGCTTCTGTATAGCTCTTTAGGATAATAGATCGGAGCTGGGGAGATGGCTCAGTGGAATAAGTGCTTCCCTGGCAAGCACAAGGGCCTGAGTTCAATACCTGGTTCCACAAAAAAGAAAAATCATTTGAATGAGCATTCTGGTTATTCATTTCTAAATTTATCTTTGCTTTTGGGTGTATGTGTGGTGTGTGTGTATGAGTGCGGTGTGTGATTCTGGGGCTGAAACCCAGAGCATTCACACTGAGCCACATTCTGAGTCCTTTTTAATTTTAATTTTTAATTTTAATTTTGAGACAGGGTCTCTTTAGTCGCTGAGTTGTTCAAGCTGGTTGTAGATTTGTGATTCTCCTGCCTCAGCCTACCAGAGTGCTGAGATTAGAGGCATATGTCACCATGCCTGACATATGTGAGCATATGTGAACAAAATTCCATAAACAAAAAAGCAAATGAAAACATTCAATGTGAAATCTTTTTTTTCTGTGTGTGGGTATATGTATTATTATTGGTCTTGGGGTATTATCAGGGACTGATTACGCCTCCAACTTCCTAAAACAAGTTAATAACAATGGCTTAAATAAATGAGACAATATGGTTGGAGGAGTCCAGGAAGGTCAAAGCTTTTGTTTTTTTTTGAGGAGGGAGTGGTACTGGGAATTGAACTCAGGACCCTGCGCTTGCCAGGCAAGCACTTGTTCTACTGAGCCATCTCTCCAGCCCTGTCAAATCTCTCTGGGAGCTAAGACCACAGGTTCCCTGGAGCATTCATATTTATTGAGTTGCCACACAAAGGAAGGCTACTGAGGTAAAGGTAGGAAACTGGGCAAGACCTTGGGAAGTTAATTCAAAGACTTGTCCAGGAAGTGTTGTCAGTTAAGAGAACTGACAACAGTTCTATCTTCCAGGTTGACATTTACAATAACCACAGCTGCAGTCTTTATCATATAAACTGGAGTGAGAGCCAGGTGCACTCAGCTGTGGCTTTCTCTTGCCCGCTGAGGTGTCACTGTGTCGTGGACCAACACAGGTCTGAACCGCGGCCGCTGGCCTGGGGAGTTACACACCCTGCATGCCAGCTGCCACTCTCGGGTAAGCGTCTAGGCCTGGGACAGACCCATCAGTACACAGACAAAGCCAGCTGGTTCCTTTTCCATCCTGCTCGGAGCTGCTCGGGGATGGTCTCCATCAAGATGCAGAGCGCATCTGATTCATTTTGAAGCTATTTAGCACACACACTCCCCCCATTCACCATCAGACTGCATCAGGCCTCTCCAGCCAGAGCTCTGCACTAGTGTACATAGGAATTAAAAATCATGGAGAAGATGTACCCTACATGTCTAGTAGAGGTGAGAGATCAAGTACTACAGCATGTGCACGATCGCAACACAACATTGAACATGTTAGGGGGCATGAAATGCCTTGGGGGCTTAGTGCTGTGGAGCAGGCACTTCTGGGGCCCAGGAGAGTTCTGATTGCTTGCTTTCTTTCTTTTCTTTTCTTTTTTTTTTTTTTTTTGAAAGCGGAAATCAAACTCAGGACCTTGCCAGACAAGCACCATGCTCCTGAGCTAAATCCCCGGCCCAGGAGTTCTGATTTGACTTTGGTTTTGGAGGAATTGGGCGGACTTGTAGTCCTAGAAGGAACTGTGCAGAGGCAAAGAGAAGACAAAGGGTGCTGAGCCAGAGTGGGACACATGCTCTGGGGAATCATAGGACAGCAGGGAGGTAAGAGGAACCCTGCGTTCCCAGCCAGGGAGCAAATTGGACACTGGTAGTAGAGATTAGGGATTGCTACCCAGGCCAGGTGTGGTGGTACAGGAAAATCCCAGCACTTGGGAGGCTGAGACAGGAGGATTGCTGTAAATTTTGAGGCTGTCTGGGCGGCACAGAAAGACTGTATCTCAAAAAACAAAACAAGGGCCAGCCAGATAGCTCAGTTGATTAAAGAAAGCACCTGCTTAGGCAAATGCAGGGGCCGAGGTTTGATCGCCAGCTACCCGTGCCGGCCCCCACCCCCAGGGGCACGCTGAGATGGTGATTGAGACTGGGTGTGGTGACATGCACCTGTAATCCCCGTGCTTGGGAGGCTGAAAACAAGAGGATCACTATGAGTCCAATCTGTGTAGTGAGACCCTGTAGACACTGTACTACATTTTTTTTGTTTGTTTTTTGATGGGGCCGGAGATTGAACTCAGGTCCTTGCACATACCAGGCAAGCACTTATTCTACTGAGCCATCTCTCAGGCTCCCAACTATACTACATTTAAAAAAAAAAAATCAAAAACAAAAACAAAACAAAACAAAACAAAACAAAAAAAACCCAGGAATTGCTACTTAGGCCACCAAGTGGAATATAGAGCTGCTGAATATATGCTATTGTCATTTTACAAGTTATGTGCTTGAGCCAGAGAGATAGCTCAGCAGCATAAGTGCCTGTCAGGCAAGCGCAAGGTCCTGAGTTCAATGCCCAGTATCGTAAAATAAAAAGTTATGTGCTGGAGTCAGGCAGCGTGGCAGATACCTACAATTCCAACATTCTGAGAGGCTGAGGCAGGAGGCTCTCCAGTTTGAGTCCATCCTGAGCAACTTAACAACTCAGTAAGACCCATCTCAAAATAAAAAATAACAAAAGGCTAACTAGGGGTGTAGCTCACTGTGAAATCTTTGGATTAAATCTCTAGTACCTCCCTCAAAAAAGATGATGATGGTGTACAAATCCGTGAACATACTGACCACAAGCGAGTTGGACACCGTGACGGGTAAATTATATGGCATATAAACTCTATTTCAATGAAGCTGTTACAAAGGAAAGTAAAAACACAACCTTTAGGATAGAATTAAATATTTGCAAATCAAGGGCCAGCCAAATAGCTCAGCGGACTAACACGCCTGCTTGGGCAGAGTGCAGTCTCAGCATGCCCCGGGGGCAGGGCCGGCACAGCGCGCTGGGGACCGAACCCCAGCTGCCGCGCTCTGCCTGAGCAGGCACTTTAGTCCGCTGAGCTATCAGGCCGGCCCTAATAACCTCATTTTAAAACAGGCAAAGGATTGTAATAGACATTTCTTCAGAGAAGATACACCGATGGTTGATAAACATGTTTTAAAAATCTCAACATCAGGGTCGGAGAAACAGCTCAGAACAATAAGCGCTTGCCTGGCAAGTGCAAGGGCCTGAGTTCAATCCTCGGTTCTGAAGAAAAAAAAAAAAAATCTCAACATCAGTCGTTAGGGAAACACAAATCAAAGTACAATGAAATACAACTTCATACTTCCTAGGATGAGTGGGAATAAACAGAAAGACAAGAATGTGAAGAAACTGGAGACCTCAAACATTGCTGTTAGGAAACTAAATGGTGCAGCCACTCTGGAAACGGCATGCTTAATGTTTTTAGGCATAGAATTTTGGAACAGTCTAAATTTAAGCACAGAACTTCTTCTGACTCAGCAGTCCACCTCTAAGAATATTCCAAAGATCTTTGAAAACCTATGTTCACACAGAGGACTTGCACACAGATATTCACTGGGGCATAATTCATAATGGTCAGAAAGAGGAATACCCTATCAGTTGAATGGGTACACCAAATATGTTATGCCCACACAATGGAATATTATGTGGCCATGAAAAGGAATGAGTTACTACTTAATGCTGCAGAGTGGATAAAGCTTGAAAATATTTTGCTAAATGAAAAAAGTCAGATTTTTACAAAGTCTATGATTACAATTATAAAAGATAAGTTAGATGTTATAGTTTAGAGTTTTTGCAAGGGGAACAAAACCATACAGGACACATTTTATAAGATTATTTTATAATGAATCTCCCAAAGAATCATATACAGAGAGTGCAGGAAATCTGTCCACACCAAGGACTCAAGCTGAGGGCCTGGACCTTCACATCTTGCATGCATCCAGCTGAAGAACTAGAACCCACTGCAGTGCCTCCCAGGAGTCCAGCTAGAGGCCTAGAGCCTGCGACAGTGACTCACATGAGCAGGTCTATTTGGTGGCTCTGTGCTGGGAAGGCCCAAAGGTCAGTGCTGGAAGCTAGAAAATGTAGGCCAGCAGGATGAAGGATCTGTACCGGCAGATCTGAACTGGAGCCAGGAAACAATGCTCAGGAGAAGAAGCGAACTCCCTTGAAAAGCACCACAGCCATC